ATTTCCTAGCAAAAGTTTTGATGCTCACTGGATCTAAATCATTTGTTCATGGATGGTCAGAACTTGGAGAGACTGCCCAGAATTACTGATTTCAATTATATGATGATGAGTTTGTTCGCACGAGATAGCCGGCTTCTAGCAGCGAGGATTCATTTTGAATATCAACTGGATTCCCTTAATTTTTCATTCAGTTACAGTTCATCATCGTTTTTGAAATGGAAATGTGAACACGTAGTCTTTCAAGTAGGTGGCGCGATATACTGATTTTGTTTTATCAGTGCATTCGCTGGAAATAGGTCGCTAGTTTAAGAAGAGATTTCAGGCTGGAAAAAAATTGCCTTTTGCAAGTAATTGTTTTTATTTGTGGTGTAGGAGGCGCAGTTCTTGGTATACTTTTAGTTAAGCTTATATCCTATGGCTTTTCCTATTACCTGCTTAGAAGTGCGTACGGTAGCTCTAAAATATCTTTTTCATTACATAATGCTAATATATAACAAGATTGTATAATGATTTCCATTTATTGCATAATGATTTTTTATTGAATAATGAAATTTTTAAAAAATAATTTTATAAATATTGTTTCATTTTAGTTTGGTTGGGTTTTCGCAGTGTTTTACGAGTATTATTTGTCTTTTATAAAACTTTGAATAAAAATATTACAATAGTTTTATGTATCTGTCTTCTGAAATTTTTCATTTTTTTGCTGTTTTATATCAAAACCAGTTTATCATATTATTGAATGCAACAATTGTTCATGTATAGATTCGCTGTTCAGTATTTAACTTTTATCGCCCAACTTTTATTGTCTATAAATTTAATCTCTCACCTGACCATTTTGAAAGTTGATGGTTTCACTTTTTAATATTCCCAGTAGAACCAGAACGTGCTGCCTTTTGGAGCGCCTACAGCACTGGCTCATTTTAGGCAGGTAAGGATTAAGGTAGTATTCTGATCGAGAGACTATCTATGGTCGTAGGGTTTGGCTGCATTTTGAAAAAGGCTTTTCTTTAGTAGATAGTAGTTGCCTTTACATTCTATCCATTATTTGATTTTCGTCCTCTTGAGTATCGTAGGTGACTGTTAAAATTGATTAAAAGACGAAATATTGTTGAAGTAGGTTACGGGATCATTTGGAAGAGCGGTTCAAATAAGAAACGTATTTGTTCAGGTTTTGGGGTTTAAAAAATTTGAACTTCGGTCATGTAAGCCACCGATTCCACTCCACTGTAAGTAGAAAACAAGATACAGAAGTAGTTTGAGTCTAGTTTTTATTGTTGAATGTCGCTTTTGAGTAGGCCTCAGTAGCACCAGATGAAATAATAATGGTTGAAGGAGCTTTATTTGGTCAAAAGGGAAAGTTTGAGCCAGTGTTTCAAACGGAGTTTGCAAAAGTGAAAGAGCTTTGTTAAATGTTTATCGTTTTTTTTTTTTTTTTTTTTTTTTTTTTTTTTTTGTAAAAAAAAGGGTCATTTTGTGATTTGGTTATTTTGTCGTTTGTCGTGGCGGGAATTATAGAAATAGAATAGCGAAGAGATAGGCTGTGATCTTCTACGTACTCTCTTTTTTCTTTTTCATATTACTTCTGACTGCTGTTTGATACAATTTATTGGCGGCTCGATGTTACGCTATTAAAGACTAACGCTTTTAATTCATTTGTACAGATGTTTTTGCAAATGTTGCATGTCGACTTTGTTGTCTCATATCTTTTCCATTCAGTATTTTTCTTTTCTGTGAAGGCTGGTACTTTTTAATACGTTCTTTTTCTGAATCGTACAACTTTTTCATTTATTTTACTTAGACTGCAGATGGCGTTGATGTACCCTATCCACTATCCTGCTGTCCCTTTTCGTTGGGATGAACCTGCGTGGACATCAAAAACTTCAGGTCCTGGCGAAGAAGCTGAGCTAAATGCAATGGAGAAAAGAGCTAAGTTAAAAGTAAGTGCCTTCCAATAATTTTGCTTTCTGTTGAGGTAAAATTTCTTTTTTTGAGTTATTTATGCATAACACGCATAATTTGCTGACATTACTCATCGACCACTTAGTAAACCAAAGTCTAAAAAAATTGCTTTATTTTTCGTGTGAAAATTATATCCTTTTATTTTTTTTTTCTTTTTTCAAAATATTTATGAAGCATCTTATCGTTTTTTCGGTTCTTTCTGTGCTGATAAGCAGCCTTGACAAGATGAAACTTAATTGATATAAAAGGTTAAGACAAATTTTGGATTCACTTTGCTGGTCATGACTGTAGTAGTTTTGAAGAGAAGTCGATAATTAGTTACTGTAGATGTAGCTTTCTGCACCGGTAGTTTTGCCATTTATTAGTTTGTCATGAATGAAGTCAATGCATTTTTGAAGTAATACAAGATTCAACAAAATGAATGTCAACAAAATCAATAAATACAAAAATATTGGAATTAATAAAAAAGTAAAAAACTTTTCACTGAGATTTTTGAAGAGATTCTTCTTAGTCGGTGAGCGCTGAGACACAATCGATTGCCTCGCATCTTCTGAGTAATTCGATGCATGAGGATGACGATGTGATGGGCGAACTGGATGATGATATTGACGAAGAAGATGAAACACAAAACTCGCGCTAATTCCTCAGAAAGTCTGCTTCTATTTCCTCCTAGATGATTTCTGGCTGATTGAGGAAGCTGTGTCTTCGGAAAATTTAACCCTTCTTTGATGTTTCCCGTTAGCAAAACTGCAATAGTATGAAATTAGTTTTACGTGGCAAAGTTTTATATATTCGTGACCAATTGCTTATTGATAGCGCAGATTGTTTTCTCAGTAATTTGTTCACTTATAAATTTTGGTTATAATTTTGCTGTTGTTATCTGAAATTGATAGGGGCAAGAATATTAGGCTTCGGTTACGTTAGAAGCTAAACAGTACGAAATAAGTTATACGTAAATATGAATAGCTGTATTCGTATTCACAAAGTTTTGTAACAGTATAATTGGCATTTTCAGTTAGGGAAGAGTTAAGAGTTAGTCGAAGGTAAGTCAAACGAGTTTTGACGTTTGTCTGACCAGAAATCGTGGTCTTCAGGATTATCTTAGATGTATGGTAAAATTGTAATATAGTGAGATGGTCTTGTTTCAATTTAATCGAATAAACCTGTAGCGTACTAGAGAATTAAAGTTCAGGTATTTGTTGTATTGTCAACAGTACAAGAGCAAAATTACATTTCTTATTTCCATGGTAATAGCTTTTGCGCTATCATTGGTTTCTGTCTGCTTAGACACCTTTTAAATCTTTGAGGCAATATTTTGTAAACGCATGAGGGTTTTGATGGCATAACGGATTAGGAATTTTTGAGAGTTGTTTCTCTGGATGGTAACAAATATTTGTTTTGGAATGAGCGGACTGTTTTTTGGCGTGATCGTAGTCGGTAGCATTGGGAGGAAATTGTTAGTACCGAAAATGGCTGAAGAATTCTTTATGCTTTTTTAAACGATGGAAAAGCATGAATGGGCTTCCGAAAATTTTCTTAACTAAGATAAATGGAAAGAAGGGAAGTGAAGTCATTGATAGGAATATTTTTGAGTCAATTTTCAAGAATCACTTTGTTATATTTCATTTTACCTTTCACAACAGCAACATCAATTTTATACACAATACGTTAAATTCAATCACATGGGATTAACTGTTCAGCCTTTTGTGACCAGGTACAAGGGAAAGAAGCGATTTCCAGATAACAGCAGTTAAGTGATAAAGCTTTATTTGTTACCTCGATCACTATTTTATCAGTAAATTCTGTTGAGTTCCTCGTACTTGTAGTTGGAGTTGAATTAATTGATTCCTGAGCAGTTAAAAACCAAAGGCTTGTGTAAGTTTGGCATGCTGAGATACTGTGCGTTGATCAAGCTTTTTATTGGAAATAAGAAAAGGATAGTTTGGTTCTTGTCATGCTTTGTAATGTGTGTTTCAGAACCTTTTTTGGTTTGGTGAGATCGTTACCCCCATTTGAATTTGTGCAATACTCCTACATAGTTTTAATATGTAATAACGTATAACTGATTTTTACATTGGCGAATCCACCGATGATGCACGATTAAGGAAACCGCGAGTTCGTTCTTGGTCATGTAACATTGGATCATGATTTACTCCGTAAATTTTTATTGCTTTTCTTCCCATTCGTTGAAGCAGTTCTGAAGAAACTCGATGAGCTGTACGCAGTGAAGTGTGCCATTCACGAAGTGATATTTCATCCTGAAATATCTTCATTTGTTTTCCACAAACAATGGGAATGTGTCAATAAGAAATTTAGCGTACGGAACGGCGAGAAAGTTGCTTTATTTATTAATTTTTTATTGTTGGTGTTGTTCCGATCTCTAACTCGTTTCATTGGATTATGCAAACATTTCCTTGGTTATAATCAGCTGCAAATATTCCTGCCAAAGAAATTTGAATTACTAATCAATTTACCAGTTCTCTTTTAATGAGCTTATTCTAAATTTACATTACAGCGCCAGAAATTGAAGGAACCTTGCTGGCCAGAAAAAACTGGTCATTAAGTTTCAGACGGCAAGGAAGGCGCTTATTTTTTGCGTGTTTTAATTTGGAGATCAGAAGGATTGAAGGAGTTTTACCGTTCCAGTATATTTGATTAGATCAAGAACATGATTTTTAGAGCAGAAGTACTAACGTGATTGGTAAGGACCAGTTTTGTTTCTTTAAATCCCTCTTTTAATTTTATAACAATTGTTGTTTCGCCTTTAAACGGCGATAATTCCGGTCCAACATCTTCGATTTGGTCCATAAATACTAACTAAAATTTCAGGTATACAATCATCATAGTTTTCCTTAAAATGTCATTGAGGTGATTTTTAATCTGACCAGTTAAATTACTGGGCCGAAAGAAGCGTAGTATTCTTCAAAATTAAAATTTTAATAGTGCATCGTAACATTCGCCATTGATCGTTGGGAGTAAAGAAAAATTGCACAAATTATAGCTTTACTTCTGGTCTCCCGTTAAGTGACTCCGGATATAATTCTAAACGGCTCGGATACAGCTTGCCATATTTAGTTTGCCAAGCTGATGCAAATGGACCACCCAATTTTTTAATATATCCATGAATTATGACATCGGAATCTGAAATTGTTTTATGGAAAATTTTCAACGAAAAACCAGTATAATGCAGGAATTATATAACACAGATATATTCAGGTCTATTTTACCTCTTTTCCGTCACGTCTCTTGATATTTTATGATGGGAAAAAGGTGAAAATATTTCTGAGGATAATTTATTGGTGTATTATTAAACTGAAGATGACTTTACCTTTTTCGTCAACACTAACTTTTGCCTTTTGTTTGGCCTTTTTCTTTGCTTCCATCTTATCGGCATCTTGGTTAACCACCTCAAAGATGGTATCAGCAATTTCATTTTGCCACCTTTCCGAGATTGTTATATTGAAATTCTTATACAGCTCGTTGTCCAAATCTGTCAACTGTAATTAAGGCTCATTTATTTTTGGTAGTTGTTACCAATAAAAACCATTTATTCAGCAAGAAAAAAAAGACTAACTTAAAATTTGTACGTCGTTAACTTCAAACAGTTTTTGTTTTATTTTACCTTTACTCCCTTGACTTCATCATCGTCAAAATTACCAATATCAAAAGCATCAGCTGCGTTGACTTCTCCTCGGGGAGGTATCAATGGGGGTGGCATTCGCCGGAGATAAACTGTTTGCCAATCAATATCCGCAAAAAAGGGATGTTCCTTAACTTCTTGCGGCCTAAATTTACGCTACATAGAAGAAATTTCCATTTTTTTCACGATGAACTTCTACAGTGTGATATTAAGAGAACAGTAAAGTTTGAAAAAGAGTTTTTTTAGAAATCGGTTTATATTACCCTCTTCCACGGCAACCTAGTCTTTCAGGTACGTCGCGCTTTAAAAGTCCTTCTAATAAATCTCGACATTCTGGAGAGAATCCAGCATCTGGCAGTTCAATATCCTGAGTCATCGTCATTTTATCAATCTCATTTTTATCCTAAAGTATAAAAAGCTCTTTTAAGAATCCAGGAAGCAAGAACCAACAAAAGGTTATTTTTACAATAGTTTTTATGGTCAAAAACATCATGCAATAATTATACGGTTAAACTTACCTTATCGCCAACTTTTGCTCTTCGTTGCCTAAATGGACTATGACCTTTGAGAAGTTTATAAAGCATGCAACCAAATGAAAACCAGTCTGCAGATGAATCGTAAGCGACTCCTTTAGCTAATACTTCAGGAGCCATGTACCCGTGAGTGCCTCTAAAAATTTGTTACACTGAATGCCGTTAAACTGTAAGCTTATGCAAATAAGTGGTAAAAATGTCTTTTATCACTTCTTTTTTGCAAGGTGGAAGTGGAAAAGGAATAAGGTATATTTTGTTCTCTTTTACAATGTATAGAAATTTAACTAAGATCTTACACACTAGCATGAGGTTTCTTCTTAGAAAAGTCGCAAGCTAAGCCAAGGTCGGAAACCCGAGCATGGCCATTCTCGTCGAGAAGGATGTTTGCGGGCTTTAAGTCACGGTAGACCACAAACCGGTTGTGCATGTGCTCAAGGCCCAGTATCACCTCAGCGGCATAGAATAGCATTTCGCTTTCTGCAACAGTAATTGTCTTCTTAATTTCAGTGGCGTAGGACCAAAGTGCAAAAAAAGGTATATACGTTAACCAAACTAATCGCTATTTTCAATAACAAAAATGAGCAAAAAAATAACTAAAGCGAAAAGTTTTAATAATAATTATCATTTGAAACTCTGCTAAAACAGTGAGATAAGTAAGCTTTAAATTGATTTTTTTTCTTGACAAAAAAAATAGAAAAAATAAGTGTTTTTGATTTATAAAAATCAATATAATTTTCACAAAGTGGCGATTAATTTGATATTCAATATATAAATAAAAAGAAAACAATCAGTTTCTCCAACACATTTGTCTATCCTCTTTTTTTTTTTTTTTTTTTTTTTTTTTTTTTTT